ACCAATCCCTGCAACGGTAGCTAAAGAGTCATTGGCCATGATAATTTTTCTATTACTTTGACAGGGGGTATAGGACTGGAAGAGTTGAGATGTGGGGGTCATATGGTCAGTAGCACCGGAGTCAATGATCCAAGAGTTGGTATATAATTTGTCTAAGTCATTCATGCAAACAGTTTTACCTGAAAGAGCTATCGAACATGCTCCAGAAGACTTCTCAAGAGATCCCAACAAGTTTCTCAATTTCTCAATTTCTTCACTACTGAATCCCCCTATTGTTGATTTTTCCTCAATATTGGGTTGCTTTGCCATATGCGCACGAGGCCTTTGTTTCTCCCCACGGTTGCCCCATTCTCGGCGTAGAGGGTTACGCTTGGAGGTTTACCATTTAAGTTCCAACACTTCTCCCTTGTATGCCTCGGTTCCTTGCAATAAGTACACCAAAGATTGTCTTTGTTCTCCTTCCCTTGGTTATCGTTCTTTGACTTCTCTTGATTTGTGTTTGCTGCTAAGGCTGACCCATCCATAGTATGCGGTTCTAGCATGACACTCCTCCGACTTTCTTCTGCTCGGATTAATGAGATTGTCTCTTCTAGAGACGGTATATCCTCCTTGCCGAGGATTTGGATTCTAACATGATCAAATTTAGGATTCAATCCTGCCAAAAAATTATATATCCGATCCTTCTCAATGAACTTCTTCAAGGTGGCAGCATCATCAGAGCATTTCATCTCAATTACAAGATAGTGATCCAGTTCCTGCCACAGATTCTGGAATAGAGTTGCATACTTTGTGACAGATTTGTCAATTTGTTTGGTTGCTCCGACTTTTTCCTTGATTTCATACGCAAGGGCAGCATTGCGGGCTTTCGAGTATGTGCGGTTGATATAGTCCCAGATTTCCTTTGCGGTGTTCAAGAACATGTAAGTGTCACTGATCGTTGGGTCCATAGAATCCCATAGCCAGGACATAATCATGGACTCATCCTCTTCCCATGTTGTAGAGGCTGGATCCCTTTTTTTTGTGTCCTGTCCACTTGGGTGGCCCTCCCTTTGCCTTTTAGGTATGTGCGGACAATTTGGGACCATTTGAGATAGTTCGTCCCATTGAACCTGTTGGATGCCCGAATATTCTGTAACTCTCCAATTTTTTGAACAACTTTGTATTCTTCAGAATGATTGGAGTAGTTGGAGATAGTGGTTTCCGACATTGACGTGGTGGAGAAGAAAAATTTGCAGCAATTAAGACTAGAATCAATCTGCAGTGGTAAAAGAATCGCAGCAATTAAGGGAGCGAATAAAAAATCCAAACAGCGACAAAGATCGCGAGATCTGCGACACAGGATTGCAGCGGCAAACAGGAAAAACAAATCGCAAGCTCTGCAGCGACCACACAACGACAAACAACGCAAAGTACTTTAGCGGCAAAGACGATCTTCCTCGTGACAACGTGCTGCTCCTCTCGGACGAAGAGGAGAGGATGGAGCGCAGATCGCCGAGAACCGAGATGTCGAAGAAGATGCGAGATGCGAACGAACACGAAGGCGGAAGCAGCCTGTGCTCAGAAGGGCGCAGCGGAGGCGGAGAAGAAGGAGAAGTTGGAGAAGCGCGCGGAAAGGGAAGAAATCTACTGGATCGAGGCCCGTAAAGGGAAGAACGCTACTGGATCTGCGACTGTCGGAGAAGTACGCGGAAGCGGCCGCCAATCGGAAGAAACACAGGATCTGTGACTGACTTTCTCTAGATCGAGGACAGCGCGTGCAGAGAACGGACACAGGCGATTGCTCTAGAGTTTGAGTCTCGTCTCTGATACCATGTGGAAAATTAAAGAAATAATTTGTATTTCTCACTTACTTTTGAATTGATCATACAAGGTATTATATAGGAGATTAAAAGGAGAAAAATTAGGAAATTATTTAACTAATTCCCTTAATTTAAGGGATTTACCAATTAATTCTAATTTCCTTAATTAAGGAAATTAGAATTAATTCTCACAACTTTATTTCCATCCCAGTCACATCTCGACAATTTCTATAACAAACTTTGAAGGCTCTTTGGCATCTCGAAATATGAAGCGAACCGTTGCGCTAGTATCAATAGAAAATTGCTTTAGATGATTTGCCTTTGTGCTTCACTATTTGTTTGTTCTTCGCTGGTTTTCTATCTTAGATTGTTCTGAACCTCTGGTCTCTTGACCTATCTTTGCTCTCTGTGATCTTGGACTGTTGTTAGGCAAGTGTTTTTTTATGTGATCATACTCACCACAATACAACACCTTGTAAAGTTTAAAAAATATTTTTTGAATGTGGCTCTCTATGTAATACAAATTGAACTCACCAATTGGCCTTATTGCATGCCATACTTTCTATTCTCTTGAATTGTCTACATCTAATATTATTAGTAGGCCTTTTTCTCTTCTCATGTTTCTATTTCTTCCTTCGCGACGCTATAAGTTCTTCTAAATTGTAATAATATTTGTTAAATGTGGCTTTTATATGTAGCACAAATTGAAGACACCAATTGGCCTTTCTTTCTTTTACTTTTTATTAGTATGCTTTATTAATTTTGCACTTTCCACTAACTTAATAAAATTTTAATGTGAATTGAAACAAAGGCTTTTATGATTAATACCTCGACCCTTTCAGAAATCTAAACATGAATGTGCCTCATCTTGATTCCTCTTGTTAATAAAAATATGGCCTTTCATAAGCTCTTTGTATTTTTCACCATAGAACATCTAAATATGTATATTAATCAAATCGATATTATGCATCAAAATATAATTAATAATGACTTGATATACTAATTTAAAAATATAACATTCTAATAAGATATAGCATACTTATATTACTTAAAGCATGCCCTTTGAATAATTTATAATTGATGTGTAATCACTTTAATTATGGAAGTAGGTGTCTTGCCGTCCCCCTTTTCTTCCGGATGGTTGGCTTCCAGATTAGGTTCTAGCTGGAAAACTAAGTACAGTTTTGAAGGAAAAAACTTTGTGGAGGATGATACATGGCCTTTTTTGGAACAGGGTTTAGCACTCCCACTATAAATGCATAAAATAATAAAAATGAATGATCACTACTAGTTCGTCAGCCATTGAGACTTTATTGGGAAATGTGTTGCACCTCTTCTAGGTGTGTGAAATGACAAATGCCTCATTAGGCACATTGAAATTCATGAAATCTGGAAAATATTCTACTTCAATATATGCCTAGATATGGAGTTTCAGCTGTGTAGCGGTAGTGGATAACAAGATGGTTACTGTTTTCTCTCATATGCTCTAAAATCACACAGGCCAGTATTTTTATAGTAAGAATTAAGTGTATTAGAGCCTTAGAAAATATAAACTGGAATGATATTGTAAGAATTAAGTATATTAAAGATATGGTGAGAGTAGTACCTCATGATAAATTGATCAAATATGGATTTAGGTAGTTTGCATGTGCACCACGAAGAGAGGAAGATGCACTATCTTGGTGAAGTGGATTGTATTAATGTGGAAAGATTAGGTAAGAGATGGGTATACCAACTATTTGATGATTGGAATTTATGCAAAAAGACTTCTGCGACCTAGAGTTAACATATCATGTAATAATCAACAAGAAAGAATGGATGAGAGATTATTAGACGTAATCATAAATTGCTAAGAATAGGTTAGTCATGATGAGAAAATATAACTAACTTTTATTGTATAAGAAGTTCTTAACTTCTAAACTACATAACACTAGCAATGTCTCAAATGACCAAAATAGCGCCAAGATTAGTTATGGGTATTGGTTCTTATATGAGTATATAAGGATGTCAAATTATGATTTTTTTTTTTTCTCATGCTTGTTTTCCATTCCATCCATTCCATCCTGTCACGTGCCCGCTTTAGTATGATTTTTTCTTACTAGTGTTTTAAAACTTTTATTTAGGATGTCTCTTGTCTTCGGTTACTTAAGGAGTTTGATCCTAAATATTTCCTACCAAAGGCTTTCATGCATCGATATCGTTGCTCGAACTCAGAGAATTTGGTGAGGAGCGGGAAAAGAGGTCAGATTACCGATCAACTTGTTGAGGTTCCGCTTGATCATCAAATATATGACATGATTGATGCAGAAGGACAAAGAGGAATAACCATTTTGGAGGTAATTTTTGTTTGATCCATTTAACATATTTGGATTCTAATTTTCATGCTATTCTATTACATTGAGCTTACATCAACACTCACATTTCTCCTGTGGTTTTTCTTGTTTCATGCTAAACATTTTATGATTGGATGTATATACTTGTCTCATCTTCAACTTCGGTAAATGAAGCAAGTTAATTTCCTACATGATTGCAATGGTAGGTTTTGAAAATTTGCTCGAGGAACACTTTTGCTTATCCTTTTTGAATTGGTTGATGCACTGTAACAATTAGAACACTGTAGGTTGTTTGCATTGACTATTCATCGGCATTTTGTCAATATCTTAAACTTTAACATGAGAATATGAACATAAAGTTTATTCCTTCAGTTGCATAATATTAAAAGATAGTATGAACCTATAATTTAAGCTGTTTATTGATGTGTCATATCCCCAGGACTTACATAGTTACTTTATTATGAGAAGTGTAAATAAGCAACATTCTAATTTTTCCTTTATAGTAGAAAATATGTTACATTTTGTAAATGTTCAAGGTGTAGTTTTGTGTCCCTTTGTACTCTTTTGATATATTAATACAAAATGCAACTTTGAAGGTGACAAGGACTTTTTTTTTTTTGTAGTTTAAATTATTCTACATGGGTTAGTGGCGACAGGTATGACCTGTTGGTTGTGAGTGACTTGGCACTCCGAATTTGTTGCTCCTAAGATGGTGCTAAATATTTGGCTAGCCATAAAATGGTGCTTGGACTTGGCACATTTGTCTCCTGACACAAATGTTCATTAGAAGGCTTACAAAATAAGGAAAAAAAAAATAGAGGGAAATATTTAAAAGGTCAAAGTAAGTCCTTTAAAGCTTAAAAAGCATGCGACATATCTAATGCCTTTCATGTAAGGCCACAATTATAAACTTAATTGGAGCTCCTGTTTACCATTCGCATTGTCTTTCCTTGGTTGACAGCTTACTAACTTCTCCTTCACCCCACCAACTTGTCATTTGGAGATATATCAGTTGTGAGAAAGCTCAATGGAAATATATAAAACAGTTATTGAGCTGAGTAGGCACAAGGTATTTTTATTTTAATCAAAATTTAACATATAAAGGTTCCCCTGTTTAAATTGTCACCATCCTTGAGTTGTTGTTCTTGTAGTAGCAAAGTCCTCATCTGATTCTTTAGCTATAATTACCCTTTTTCTATAGGGTTTGGTTCTTTATAAATAAGAATACTAATGAGAGAGCTGTTGATGGAGGCTTAGATGTGCAATATCTATTTTACTTGTGACATCTTCTAGCTATTCCCTTTTTAAATGGTTGTTGGCATTACACGACATCTATCTATATGCTTGTTTGCCAATGTTGTTCACATTTCTCCACTTTCCTTATTAGCTATGACTAATGTAATGGAGTGCAATTATTACATCTTTCATGGAGCAAGCATTGATCAAACAAGACTTTGTAGCATACAGCTCTACACTCTTGGTGACACCATTAGATGGTCATTAAATTCGATTGGTCTAGTTCCATTAGTTAAAGACTTAGTATATCATTTCTGGGATGATAGTTCTAGTGGATGCCAATAAAACTATACGGCCACCCAAAGCTAGTCCACTAAATGTTGATCTTACATGCTCCCGCCTGTTTGTAAACTTCGAAGTTTTTTTTTTAAAATATTTTTGAGGGGTTGTAAATTTGAATGTTGGCGGCTCCTTGTTGGTCATCCTCTTATGTGAAATCTTGCTACGATGATAGATACATACTTGTTGAGCACATCAAGATAAACTTTCAAACTTGTTATACTACTATGTTTCTCATCAGTTAGATTCATTGGCCTTCAATGCTTAGGTCAGTTGAAATTCAGAAGATTTCCCGATATAACTTTGTCTTTATAGTAAAAGATTTACAAAGTAAGGTCAAGCTTGAGAAGATGTCCATATTAGTATCTTGAAAGTCACAATGAGAAAATCTTTTTAAAACCTTGTGTGGATGTCCACATTAGTATCTTGGAAGTTGTTGTGGGCTGGAAAAATCAGAGTGAGAACTCCTAATTAAATATATCATGGTCTACTCATTAATCTAATTGAATAAGTGCTATTGGAAATTTTACAAACAATGCGAAAAATGTGTGAAACTTGATGTTCTTATAAAAAATTACTAATTAATCTCAACCATCCAATCAATGGTATCGATCTTTATGCTAATCATCGTGCAAGGTTGAATGACTCAACAATGCCTTTAAAAGTCAACCGTCTAATCTCTTCAAGATGCATAAAGGCCTTTGAATCAAATCCATGAAATTAAGCATCAATTCTGATGCATCAAGCAATCTATCTAATGAACCAACTCAAATCACACCCAACACCAGTGTCAAATCCGTCCTACAACCTAATTTCAATATCTACTAGCATGGATCTTAAAATTTCAATGCTCCATCCATCCATCCATCCATCCATCAGCCTTAAGAATAGAAGCATCCATCAAGGATCACAAAGATAAGGCACCTCTCTTTTTCTTTGATTGACCAGGGAGCTAAAATACTATTCAAGGAAGAGCCTTTCCATCTAGCACAAGCTAAAGATGAATTGGATACTCCATCCCCCCTCTATTCCTATAGAAATGCTAAAATGTCCTTCATACACATGTTTACAAATACCTATAAGAAGCTAAGCCTTATGTTTATATTTTCTCCATTCTTTCCCCAAGAGGGGAGGGTTTTCCTTTTAGCCCCTCAAACTTCAACCCAAAGAGGAAACGATGTTGATTTGGTTTCAACTCTTAGCTTGATCACTACTTAAAGTGTTTGATGGTCTTTGTAAGTGTAAAATCCCTAAATTGGTATGTTGTTCTATTGTTTAATTGATTGTGTCAGATATAAGATTAAACTTGAGATGAACTACTTGCAAAATTCTATGTAGCATTTCAAGAAAACAATAATTATCGACTAACAAAGCATTAATTATTGAGAATAAGTGATAAAAAGTGTAAAAAAAATCATTCAAAAATATTGTTAAAGAAAAGTGTGCCAAAGAAGTTATAAATATGCAACATAGTTGCACTGAAATATGGCAAAATTTTTAAACGCCGACAAATTTAGGTAAGTCTCCAAGGAAGGGAAACGTTCATAGATAGAATTGACAAGTGAAAATATAAACCGAGTAATATAAATATTTTAATCTTTTGTTTACTCACTAATCCTCTCAAAATTCATATTTAACATTCAAATTTCTTACTTTGTAACTCTTTTATTTATATTTGTATGCATATTATGAATTCACGACGAGAGAAGTTTTTCTGAACTCTTACTGTTTTAGGAATAGGCTTCTCAGTTTTTTTTTTTTAATTTTAATTAATTTATTGTTATTTTTAGAATAATCTTTTACTATATCACACTTCATATTTTACCTAAAAAATATGTAATCATATTATTCGATGTTGAGTAGAATCTTCTCTTATTTTTGTGATTTAAAGTTAAGAAATAAGAGCAAGTATCTTGTTTAAAAATTTTAAAAGAACAACAATTACTCAAAAAGTATGGCAGAACTAATATAACATTTTTTAATTTTTTTAAACTGTGTTATGGAAATGTGAAAAAGTTTTATTATTGTATTATTAAAATATTTTTAAAGTTTATTGATATATTTTACTTTTGACGAAGCAGAACATGAATTCTTCATATTTGCATTCAAAATTTTAGGCTTGTAACTTTAAACATAGATTTATTAATATATTTATAATTAGTATATTGCAGAACTATTTTATAATTTATTAAGAATAAAATGAAGTTCAAACAACTGAAAAAAATGTTATTTATTCATAACTTGTTATGAATTTTATATTTAGTTGCATCTGAATGAGATGCATGCCAAGATCAGAAGAAAGATAATCTTGGATGATAATGGACTTGTTACTCAACAAGATGACGAGAGATTGTACTTAGTATTTTAAAAAAAATATATCATACTAGTTGCCACATTGCTGGTTTTCTTCTTTGTACAAATTCTGTATGAAATTCCTCATCACAGCTCATTCAAATTAAGATTTGTCTTCATAAGTTCATCTCATTTATTATGACTTACAACTACAAAAGCCAATTTTCAGTTTGTAATCATCGGTGATAATATTTGTATGCTGAATTCCTTATAATATTTGTCTTCATATTATTGTTAAAAAAGCAGCAATCAAGTGCCATGGTAGCTTTATATATATTAGTTGGTAGCAATCATCTCCCTGTTGAGTTTCATCAAACGGTAATAAAGGGCTTGTTTGGGATTACTTTTGTTCTTTGTTTTTTGTTTTTCATTTTTTTTTATTTTTTTTGCTTTTATTTTAAGAACATGTTTGTTTAGCACAACTTTTGTTGTCTTGAACTTTTTTTAAAAATACTTAAAACATCTAGAAATTATTTTTAATGTTTTTAAAAACAACTTAATATGTTATAAAATATCAAACATGTTTTATTTCAAGTAAAAAAATTATAATAAAAAAAAAACAACAAAAACAACAATCAATAGTGATCCCAATCGGTCCCTACCGCCCCTTCCAACTTTTTGTGTGTCTGAGGGGACTTTTCCCATTCTAGCAATTGCATCAGGACAACGTTGGCCTTGGCAGCTCTGTCCCAATCCTACGAACCTCCACTCTTTGTTAATCATATCAGCGATAACCCCTAATCATGCTAAAAGCAGTCAAACTGTTGTTGCATGAAGAAGATCAATAAAAATGCCCTTTTGGTCGTAAGTAAAATTAAATTCTTTTTCATAAAATAACATTCAGTAAAAGATTAAGGAACACAAAGCCACTAGATATAATGAAAATGAAGGAACTGCAGTGAAGGAATCAACCTTCATTTTTATTAAATGTACCTCAGTAGCACTTCCATATAAGCTTTTGAAAAGAATATGAGGTCTGGTTGGAATTCTTTTGCGTGAACAACATTGAGTAGGATGGCCGAGACTTTTCTAGAGTTCTAATTGTAGATGTGATCTTTAAGTGGCTTTCATTTGTAAATGGAAGTGGATAGATGATCGTATGCTTTGGATTGTAATTTTACTTGTTATTTTTATTTTTTTATTAAAGGATTTACATACACACCATATAATTCTTATGTATTTACATATCTAACAGCTGAAGTTTGATATTGATTTATATAACACCTAAATTATTAACATTACATCAAAATTACCGCCAATATTAACTTTTAAAAGTGAATTGCACTTTTTGATGCATGTTTTGGTATAATTTTGACTCTAGATTTTATATAAATAAATATTGAAGTTTAATTACATGAATAAATACATAAGAATTATATGATATGTATGTTAATTCCTCTTTTCTATTTTATGATAGCCTTTTTAGTTTTGGAGTTTATCTGTGGTTGCATTCTAATGTTTATGAGCCTGTTCAACTAGCATCTTCCACCAATATTATTTGAGGACTTTGGTTATGTTATTATGTTTTTGCTTAAGAGTATTTTTCTAGTTTGTCTTTTCTCAAGATCTTCATGCACACTGTTTAATAATTCTAAATAATGTTTGATGTCAAGCTTGTTGCATACAAGGCCGGGATATTTTAAGACTGCTTTGTTCTTTATTCTATAATCACTTTCGATCTTACTCTTTTTTGCTGACATCTAAACTTTCTGCAAGGCATTATCTACTAAATTGCGTCATATATATATTTTGTTTTGTAATTAATGGTGAATTTTACATACTCAGCACACAATTCTTATGTATTTGCCTATTCCATACCTAAACTTTCATATTTACATACAAGTGGTTTGGTGCTTTAAACATATGCATGAAAATGTGCATTTCACTTTTAGAAAATGGTACTAATGCTATTATTGTGAAAGTTTTAGGTGGGAGCTGTGTGAAAACATAAGAATTGTGTGCTACGTTTGTAAATGCTCCCAGTTAATATTGCTTTATGAAATGCAGTTATCCAGACGACTTGGAATAAATTCAAAGAAATTGCATAAAAGAGTTATGTCTGTGCGTGAAAAGTTTGGAGTTGTTGCGCGGTCTGAAATTCATAATAAACAACAAGTATATCGGTTTTGGACACATGGCTCGCACCTCCAGAATCCTATTAAAAGCTTTACAGATGACCAAAATATGCTTTCTGATGAACATGATTTGTCAAATCAAGCGAGTGATTCTGTTCCATTTGACCGACCATTAGTTTCTAAATCTGAGCATGAATTATTGGTTGGTGAAGAAAGGAACAAAGGCCAAGAATTGAAAATTCGTAGCTCCTGTGGCCCTATTTCTGAAGTAATTGAAAGTGAGCAAGAACCTGATGATCGAGCAAATAAAGATAATTTTATGGAGGGCAATGTAAATTTAGACGAGGCAAGCTGTACTCCAGACTCAGGTGTCTCCACATCGACATCACTTCAAGCTATATCAGTATCATCTATACCAATTCTCCAAACTCAGAAGTATGCTTGCAGATCATCAAGTTTGTTTTCTGCTCTGAGGGAACAAAGGATACTTGAAAAATTGGAGGTACATCAGTTGCTACTCCACTTAGAATGTCTACAAACCATTCTTCCTTTCAATTGTTTAACATCAATGCCAATATGATGTAATGATATAGTACTTTATTTTCACCAAAATTCGAAATTATATATAAATTTCTATATAAAATATTAAAGTTTTTAATTCACACTTACTGACCTCAAACGAAGTTCTCAATATATGTTAAACATTTTAATTAGATTCTGGATCTAGATTTCTAATGAGACTGCTTTGGCTTACATATAACATTCTATGTTGTTGATATATGTTAAACATTGATAGTAGAAAAATTTTCTTTATTTTTACTTTTAATGTTCGCTAGTATTAGTGCTTTAAAAGTTACTTTTAGGGTTTCTTGTGTTTATTGAACAAATCAAGTTAAATTTTGTTTTTCCCTATTGAAATTAATCCATTAGCTGCATAACATGTCGTTTGCTTCATTGTTTGTGTGCAAATTTGTTCTGATTTGAATTTTAAAAGAAATAGAAAGTAAGAAGCAGTAGTATGTAATCAGTATCCTTTATCGATTCTCCATCTTTTTGTATCTTATAATACTAAGGAATTCAAGGTACTTTTATTCTGTGTGTTTTTACAGCAATGGTATACATAACTTGTCAAATGCTTAGAGTTCTGGTTAGAAGAATTGTTGAAAAAGGTGCATTTGGCTAAAAAAATATGTTATTGGTGTACAGAGAAAAGTATGACAGGCACTGTTTCTTGAAAAATAAGCTATTAGAGTATTTATCAAACTTTAGGTGTTAGATATGTAAATACATAAGAATTGTTTGATATGTATGTAAATTTACCTAAACTTAATTGATTCAAATTGTGATGCCACTGCATTGTGAATATGATCAATAGTTGGTGAATGTAGAGTTTAATAGCCACCACTTTTCTGCGGCCTGGGAGCTTGAAAACTATTCGGTATTTCCCCGACATTACTATTACATATTAAATACATATTTTCTTATTAAAAGCCCATTTCATCTTTGCTATAGGATGAGAAGTTCCTTCTTAAAGTTGAGTTGCATAAATGGCTTGAGGATATTGAGAAGGATAAGCCAACGACAATGGACAGGAAAACTCTGGACCGGTCTTTAAAAAAGCTTCAGGATGCAGGATTTTGCAGATGCATTGGGGTTCACATGCCGTCATTAACAAATTTCAATAGTTTGCGTTATACAGAAGCTATTTTGCACCCTTCTGTGAACCCATCTCAAGAACTTATGCAAAAAATTTATGAAAAACAGAGATCTTTCGATGTTCGAAGTCGCCGTTCTGGATTTGGTAGGATAAAAGTTGAACGGCCTGTGGTGGAGTTGCCACAGCTAAAAGATGTTGAGAGGGCTTCCACTCATGCTGATGGTTCAAAGGCAATGATTAATAATGGATTTGTCCTTGCAAAAATGGTTCGAGTGAAGCTTTTGCACAAGTTTTTATGGTCTTACCTTAGTAGTTTACCATATTGGCAAAATGCTTTTAAACTTTCTAGAAAGGGTAGCGTTAATGTGACAAATCCTGCAGAAGATTGCCAACTATTTTCTCTTGATGCAGCCATAAAAGAAATGCCACTGGAATTATTTTTGCAGGTGGCTGGATCTAAATTAGTTATTGATAATCTGGAAAGAAAGTGTAAGTTGGGTTTGAAACTCTCCGATCTCTCAGTTCAGGAGCGCAGATGCCTTCTGGATTCTCAGGCAACAAGTAGGCTGTCATCTATTGTTGAGATCTTATATAGGCTAAGGGTAATATTTCTTTCCTTGTTCTGTGCTTGTGACATTTTTTATTTTATTACTCTTTTTACTAGTTATTGAAGTATTTTTTATAGATATTTTATTTTGTAACAAAAAATCCTTGCTTTTGCAAGTAAATGAAATTTCTAAGTCATGCATGCTGCTTGGAAATATAATTTAGTTGATGCAATTTCATACTTTTCAACGTACTTATTAAAGAAGCAATAGCTTCACTTCTCAGGCATTTCGGCCATGTAACAAGACACCTGAATTATTTGCACTTCATTGGGGTCGAATTTTAGCTTAGTTGGTCAACTTTAGTATCTAGCAATGTACAAGAGTTTTTCTTTCGTCTTTATTCCTCTTACGTAAGTGAGTAATGGGCCCAAAAGTTTAAATGGCATATGTCTAGTTGGATTTTAGTCGGTTTCTTTCAGCTATTTAGTTGTCTTTCATGTTGCTGTAATTTGTGTTCTTTGTTGCTCAAGGTAGCAGTTTCTGATTACTTTTCTTTGATCTTTTTGTGCTTTATTTTTATAAGTGTCTCATGCATATTTTATGGCAACTTTTTTGATTTATAACATGTGTTTTATGATTAATAATTGTTTGTTTCCATTTTATGTTATTGTTTTGGGTTATTTATGCCATGTTTATACTATGAAGAAATGATAATAAAGAAATGATATATTATTCTATTTCCTTGTGGGGGAATTCATCTAAAATTGTAGAGTTGATGTTCTTTTTTTAGTTCTTAGGTTTTTGTTTTGCTCCATCATTTTGCACATTTAAATTTATCAATTAATTATATTTGATACAAAATGTACACTTCTTTTTGTCCTCAGATGTTTACCATGGACCCTAGCCGCTATTCACCCATTCCAAACTTCTACTCTATTTTATCACCTTCTTTCTAGCTTTTGAATGTGAGTATCTATATGTGGTTATTACTATTTGTTTTTTAATAACTAGATTCAGATTTCCAAAATCAAGTGTTGTTGGGAAATATCTATATTGAATGAATTCAGCAAATACATGGCAGACTGATGACACATTTGTCTCACACTTCAAGGGTACAAGTGGTTTCAGTGATGACGGAGTAGAAGACTCCCCACCTCGGGAGAATGGTGTGGGTGTGATTTTCCCACCCCATGGGATAAGTAAAGTGGGATTTCTGTCCTAGGTAAACGTGAGAAAACCTGAATCAGTTTGGATAGATTGATAGATGGATTGATAAAATCAGTGTAAGTCATCCTCTGAACAGTTCAGGCACATGTGTATATTGGATTGAACAATCCTTAAACTTTAAAGTTGAACCTTGGTAGGAATTGTCCTTAAATAGATAAGCCAACATAGGATTTTAGCTTTAAGAGGAGCTAGAGTCATTCAAATCCGATTAATGAAATTAACTGAGATGCCTACATTCATCAGTAGGAAGGCTCTTTTCTTGTTAGAGTCTAAAGATACATTTTCAAAGTAAATCTGACAAGTTATTCAAATCTCTTAATAGTAGAAAAGAAGTTTTCTCCTTCCAGTGGATATGCTACCTTAACTTTTAAAAAATTAAATATACTTCAATCTTCGTCACAAATAAAATCCATCAATCTACTGGATTTGAAAGGGGTAGAATTTTTTATGTATTTATCTTTCCAAAATCTCAAATAGTTCCTTTTATTATTTTTTATTCATTTTTCTATCAATTTTGAGTTATATTACGTATTTTTATGCTTTGTATTGGATAGAGTATCATTCTTCTTTTGTTTCCCCTTATATTTTTTCATATTTCAATTTGTCTATTTTTGCAATTTATTCCTATTTTAAAATAGTTAAATTATATGATTTTTAAGTGTTATTGTTGATCTCATTTTTAGGTCAACCCTCTTCCTACAATTTGCACTCCATTGAGTTTCACCTGGGCTGGATATTAAATTAAACCTTAACTTAAGAGCTCAAAACATTGAACCAACAAAATCAGAAATCGGATGTATCCAAATAAAGTCAATAACTGAGCCTGAAACAATCTTAACCAGTGAAACCTGAAATTCTCATTTTCGCTCCGAGATTGTTGTAGGGCTCAAAACTTCATTTTGGAAGCGGCATGATATTTATTTCATATTTAAAGCCCATGCAAACAAATTCGACGATTATTTGAAATAATTTTTATGTAAAATCTTTTATTTCAAAAATTTCATACGTGAATATTACTCTCAAAATCTTAAAATTATCACTTTTTTCAAAGGTCAATCTAGTGACCCAAAGTGCATTCAGGAAGTTGCATATTCTTTATAATCACATATGAGGAGAATGCAAGTCTGTTTGGTGCTTATCGGATGTCGTTTTTATGTAAAAGTGTGCACTTAGGATTTCCATATATGAAAAATAGTCCCACATAAAATTTTTCAAAGTAACATTATTTTTGAAAACGGATTTCATCATTGCATCCGTCTCGTTGAAATCTTTCAAAGGAGCCATTCCAAGCCCAAATTTGACTCTATTTGGAACCATCATGCTGGCAATAATTTGAAGAGAAAAATAATAATTTTGAGTGAGAAAAAGATAATTTGACCAAAACTCCCTCAAAATGATTTTAAATTAACGTGCGACTTCAATTAAAGTTGTTTTAAATTCAACAATATACATTTTGGTTCAATAGAATTAATTAAAACTTTAACTTCAAACCCGTCTTTTTTCTATCATTAGAGTTTGAGCCCACTTTGAATGACCATAACTTGAGCTAGAGATCTCATTTTTCAAAATGGGTTGAACCATTGAATTCCTTGTCTCGTCCTCTTCGAAACAATTTATTATTTAATTTTTTCATAAATGTCTTAATCCCTTGGCCAAATTACTAAAATACCCTCCCCTTTTTCATTAATTCCCTCTATGTCCATTTGATCCTAGTCATTTATTTCACTCTCTAACTCGTCATCTTGGCCAAACACCCCCTTGAGCCATGCACTATCATCCTACTGACCCACCTAAGCCTCATGTCCCCACCTCTCTCCTTCTTTCCCCTTTCTAGTTGGTTTTCCTTCAAACTAACCTCTCTTAGCTGTGACTCCCCCTAATTTTTCCTCAAGTTCGATCCTAACTCAATCTAATTTGGAAATCTCTTGATTCTCTCCTTCAATTTCGACAAACTCCTCTCCTTTCAAAATTCCATTCAATTCTCCCAATCTTCTCCAATTACCCCAAATTAGTCCTCATTTCCAAAACCAAATTTCCCCCCTTATCCTTTCCTCTTGCCCGAAATTCCCCTCTATTTTTCAAAAATCAAAATATCCCCCTTTCTTAGGTCTCTTAGCCAAACCCCCTCCCCAACTGAAATTCGTCTCCCAATATCCTCGTTGGCCGAAAACTCAAGTTAAGAGAGAGGTTGACTGGAGGGGAAATTTTACTCTTCTTACCTTTTGAATTCCTTGCTTGGTTCTTGTTGGGATCCCTTGGTGGTACTCGGTTTGATGAGGGATGGGAGAGAGTGTTTTAGCCGAGAGGGGTAGAGGATGAGGGTTTCGATTAGGGCTTGGAGAGGGGAAGAAGAATTTCGGCTAGGGCTTGGAGATGGGAGAGGATTTCAGCAAGGTTATGTGAGGGGAGCTAGAGTTTTTGGCCAAGGAGGATATTGAGAGGAGAATTTCATCTAGGGAGTGATTTTGGTTAAGAGACATGAGAGGGGGATATTTCGATTTTTGGAAAAAAAAGAAGGGAATTTCGGGAAAGAAGGGAGAATATGGGGGGGAATTTGATTTTGGAAATAGTAATTCTGGGTAGTTGGAGGAGATTCGTAGTATTTGGTGGAATTGAGTGGAATTTGAAAAGTAGGGGATGAATTTGGGGGAATTGAAGGAGAGGATCAAGGTATTTCGAAATTAGATTGAATTAGGATCAGATTTGGTTGGAAATTGGGGGTCACGACTAAGAGAGAGGTTAGTTTGGGTGGAAACCAAATAAGGAAGGGGAAAGGAGGAGGGATCCCATGGATTGATGACATGGAGGAGGGGGTTGGGGGCGTGAGGATTAGATGGGCCAATAAGATGAGAGTGCATGGCTCAAAGGGGGTGTTTGGCTAGAATGACGAGTTATAGAGTGAAATAAATGGCTAGGATAAAAAGGGACATGGATGAAATTAATGAAAAACGGGAGGGATATTTTGATAATTTGGCCAAAGGATTAGGGCATTTGTAGAAAAAATTATATGTCATTTCGAAGAAGAGAAGACAATGAATCTAATGATTCAAATCGTTTTGAAAAAGGATGCCTCTAGCTCAAGTTATGGTTGTTCAAGGTGGGCCAGACCCTTAGGAGAAAGAAAAATGATAGGTTTTGTGTTTGGACTTTTAATTAATTTTATTAGACCAAATTGTGTATTTTGGAGTATAGAACAACTTTTGCTGAAATCCCAAGTTGATTTGAAGTTTTTTTGAGAGATTTATGGTTAAATTATCGTTTTCTCTCTTCAAATGATCGTCAGCTTGATGGCTTCCAAATGTAGTTCCAAACAAAGTCATATTTGGGTGCAAGAGGGCTCATTTAAAAGATTTTGACGGGACAAATGCAATGATGAAGTTTATTTTAAAAAATAATGACTCTTTGAATAATTTTTACGTGGAATTTTTTTTTCATGCACGAAAATCGTAAGTTAACAATTTTACATAAAAACGGTGTCTAATGACCAACAAACTCATTGGGATGCACCTCTTATGTGATTATGAAAATTATGCAACTTATAGAATGTAATTTGGGTTATTTGATTGATCTATGGAAAAAATGATAATTTTAGTGATTTCAGGGTAATATTTATGTATTAAAATTTTGAACTGTAAAATTTTGTGTAAAAATTGGTTCAAATGATCGTCGAGTTTGTTTGCATGATCTTCAAATACGTTAATAAACATTGTGCAACTTTCAAAATGATGTTTTGAGCCCTACAACATTATCGAGAGAGAAAATGACAATTTTGGGTTTCATTGCTTAAGGTTGTTTCATGCTCATTGGTTCAATCTTTGGGTTTTGAATTCATTAAGGTTTAGTTCAATATTCAACCCATGTGAAGCTTAGTGGAGTGTAAATGGTGGGAAGAGGGTTGACCTAAAAATGAGGTCTACAGTCATTTGTAGTTTGTACATGTATATAATGTTGTGTTTGTATTATGGTTGCTTTAATACACGAAATAGCAACCTCCCACTTAACTTAGTGATCCTTAATGAATGATATCATACAAGTATTTTGAGCATAATTTCACCTCCCAACAGAGCTCTTTGGGGTGTTGGGCAGCCCATGAATTAAATACTGCTTTTCGGCCCTACACCTAACCGATGTGAGACTTTTTGTCCATGATAATAAGGACCCTTAATTGGAAGTGCAATATAGAACTATGATTCTTTGCAGACAAGTAGTTAAAGAAACTAAAAATGCAATATAGAATCTAAGTTTCTATGCAGATAAGTATTCAAAGATCCCAAATGGTTAGATATAAAGTGGCAAATGTCATGTTAGCCTCCTAATATCAGATTTTGAAGTAAGAAGCGTCATACAAACATTAAAAAAAGAGCATGACAAGTCAAAGCAATGGCATTATTGACAGCCTTAGAAATGTTTTTGTATAAAAACTCAATTAATCTGGTGTGATTCTGACTCTTTTATGTTGCATGCCAAAGTAATACACCATTAATTAAACAAGTTCAGAAGTTTATACTTCAACTTTGCATCCTTATGTCGACCCCACTAGTGGATTAAAGGCTTGGTGTTGTTTTTGTATGCATTTTAAAGTTTATATTTCGACTTTGCATCCTTATGCTGGCCCCACTTAGTGGGATAAAGGCTTCTTGTTGTTTGCATCCTTATGCCATAGTCATTTATGCTTTTTTCTTGAAGAAGGGTGCCCAATTTCTTAATTACATGTCACTTTAACAATATTTGTAATATGCATGTTGTAGCTCATGGCATCGAACACAGATAATCTTACACATGTTTTTTTAAATTTTTATTTACCCAGTTAATTCAATTAGTTAACAAGGGAGCTGTCCAAGATGTTAATTTGCTATCTCATGCCTTGGAGCTTCAACCATACTTAGAGGAACCTATGCCTGCAGTGTTACCATCTTCAGATATCAATAGATCAGATAATTGCTATAAGTTACGACATGATTTTATCCTTTCAGACAATGAGGTTGTTGACAGATATTGGGAAACCTTGGAGTATTGCTTTGCAGTTGCTGATCCATCATATTCCCGTCAGTGCTTCCCTGGTTCACATGTAGAAGAGGTGTGCAATTATCTTATTATTCCTTCTAAGACTTTGTTTAATTTGATCTTATGTTTTCTTACGTTAGTTTTATATAGATGATATATGCTTTGCTTGATATAATATTGGTCTATTTGTACAATCTTTACTTGAATTCTTTTTTTTTAGGATAGAAATATTTTCTTTAACTAGCTATTTTTTTCTCCACGCAAACATCTGATTGATCTGTTGATAACACCATGTTTTTTCCTTTAAATTCACAAGGTACAGTGCATGGAAAAATCAAAATCGTCTGAAATTGAGTAGATGTTTGCATGAAATTCCTTGTTTATAAGGATCTTAGTAGGGGTTGATTTTCCCAATCTTCCCCCTTGTTGGGGAGTCTACTTCTCTGTCTCAAAACCCTCACCTAACATCTTTGTTGGTGGCAATCTGGCATTTAAATATCAAATATTAGGTGTTAGATATGTAAATATATAAGAATTATGAGATATGTCAGTACATGCCCCTAAAAAATGAAACAAATAGATTTAACATCACATTAAAATTTTTTTGAAAATGAAATATACCTTTTCATGCATAGATTTGTGTTATAAATGTAAATATCAAACTTTAGGTGTTCAATATGTAAATACATAAAAAAATTGTAGTATTTATGTATATTTCCTCCTTTTTTTAATATGGTTTATAGATTGTTCCTTTTATTTGTTACTTTTTGATTACATGGTTCTAATTATTTCTTCCAGTCGAACTTTATAGTTCCTTGTTGATTCTTGAAGTTTATGGGTTGATTGGAGTGGTTGTTGTGAAACTTTTTTAAGTGTGTGGTCCTTTAGCTACCATTTGTCCTTAATGTCAAGAAATATCTGTACTGGGTGCCAGTTGCTGCCATATCATTAATGTTTATGCAATTTTTTCATTATTTATTTTCTTTATCATCTTTTTTGTGCCATGAGCTTGCCTTGTTGGAGAAAAAAAAAACTGAACTTTAAAAACATTTAAAGAAAGGGAAATCTTCATACGTAACACACAATTCTTGTGTGTTTACATATTTCAGACCTAAACTTGGATATTTACATATATAGCACTTTGGTGCTTTAAACCTTTGCATGAAAAGGTGTATTTTTTATTAAAAAATTGATGGTAGTGCTATGTGATATTAAAGATTTGAATGCTGCATGTGTAAATCTTAAATTTTAGGTTTGAATATGTAAATACATAAGAATTATGGGCTATTTATGTAAATGCCCTTTAAACAAATGCCTATGGTGCCTAACATGGAGTATTAGGCGTGCATATAAATGCTTGTATGATTGCGTTTCTATGTACATCTTGCATGATATACGAACAATTTGCTAAGTCAACTGTGGAATGAATGGTGTAAGCATGAACATCTCCGAAAGTTTAAAAATCAGTTTTTTTTAAAATTTTTTTTGGTGCTGTTATCTCATTATGGGCATGATGATGCATGATAACAAGGAAGATTGCATTTTTAGTCTTGATTTTATAAGATAAAAAGGTGATTTATTAGCCTCAGGGCAATATTGTTTTCAATCTCTTTAGAAATGATTGATATTAATGCATCATTATTCAAAATCAGTTCACATCATGACTAGATTGTTAATAAAGCATTTATGGAAATAGAATTAAAAATATTTCTTTTTGGACAGCATCTAGATATGAACAAATGAATGCAGAGTGAGAGAGAGAGTGTGTGTGTGCAAGGAAAAACCAGCCAGAAATTGCCAAATGTCTTATAAAATTTTAAACTCATAAAAAGTTTGGCTACTGGAGCGAGGCTCATCTTGCTTGTCATCTCTGTTTATGATGAGTAAGAAAAATGCTGGCACTTTCCTGGGATGTAAGGAGAAGAATGGCAATGTCTGTGAACTGCAACAAATTGAGATCTTAGGCATTACTCTTTCTTCGTGTGAACCCTAAATAGCTCTTAAATTCCTAGAAAAAAATTGGAACTTTTGTGACTCATCATATGCGAGCATGAAATGTACTCCGTTCATTGAGCTCAATGATGCGCACTCTTCATTTTGCTTCACAACACCTATGAGCTTCATGGGACCACCTCAAATCGCTTTGCTTAAATGTGGCTTTGATTCTCATTTTGACAACATTATGGTGAATGTATCTTATATTCCATGTAAGAACCCAACAACTATTAAAGTTCACGGTTTGGGATTCACTGTTATATTCATCTTGGTCTTGAGCTATGTTAGGGTAAAATCTCATATATATTATTAAAGAACAAAACCATGACGTGTGAAATTATAGTCATATTCCTTCTTTTTTATGACTGACTGTATGAACTTTAAAATGGGCTAGTTAACATAGGCTGTACAGAGGATGTTGCTATAAACTTTGTGCCACATTAGTGTCATATCAAGTGATACAAAAATAATATTGTTTGAACATACTTTAAAAGACAAGGACAAAACATGAATTTTCAAATTGTTCAAAAACATAATTGATAAATTTGGCTCATGAACAGAAACCTATGAGTGGGAATAATATCATGAAGATAATGTATTAGATGATAATGTGGAACTCCTACAATGGAACCTCCATTTTTGTTTGTAATTTTTTTGTTGACTCTCTTGTTGGTGGATGTGGCTGTGGCTTGTAAGGGATCAGTTCATTTTTCATGTTTTTTTTATTGTTTTAGTTTTCTGATTTTTGGTTTCCTTACAAGTCTCTGCTATGGATTCAGGTCTCTTTCAACTTGTTCATTGTCATCTTTATTCCTTATAATTTTTCTGTGATTGTTGTGCCAAATTCTTTGCTATTAGATTTATGCTGTTACATGAGCTCTTATGCTGTTGATCTTTTAATTTTTTTTATTGTAAATTGCTGTTAATTTAATTAAATGAACCAAAGAAGTTACTAAATTTATTTAATTTGTCCATTTGTCTTATAATTTCATTACGTGTTAAATGTAATCCCTTTGTGGAAAGTGCCAATTTGCATGTTTGATAAAGAAGGAATTCATTTTGTTTCCTTGAGTATATCTCACTGTTTGTGTTTTCTTTTCTTAGATATTTTCCATTTTTCTATTTTTTTCCTATTTAATGGTATTCCTAATTTAAAAGAATTCTTGTTTCCTATTTTGTGGACTGGTATGTCGGTCATACTATTATATATATTTAATAAGGTTTATTGCATAGTAGAGAATGCAAAAATAAAATTTTGTTCCAGAATTCTATATGGTATCAGAGTAGAGAAATCTTTTTTTCATGTTTCGAGGGCTCCATCTTTTTTATCTTCTGAAAACTAATCTTTGGTTCGCATTTAAGGATTCCATCTCCTTTGTCCTCTGAAAGTTTCGAAGTCAAAGAAGTGTCAAAGCGTCCTTCGTGTCTCCAACGAACTTCTTCTTCATCGACGACAATGACGAACTCGTAGGTTTTCTCTAATGTTGTCTTCAATGGACAAATTTGGCTTTCTCGTACCAATGGGAGGTAGGGTCGCTGCATCATCTTCTTGCGTATGCACGAGATCGTAGTGCCCCATCGTTTAATCCTTCCTTTTGACAAGAATATTTCATCTTTCGTCTCTTTCTCTCTACTAGATCGGAAGCTCTGTTGAGCAATTCCAACATATTGGATCATAGAATTGTTGAGCAAAACTGTTCGACCAGATCACAATCCTCTTGGATTTACCATGGCATAGCTTCATATTGTTGTTGAGATCTATTTGGCTTGCCGAACTCGTGGGAACCGATAGTTGTGCACTTCTCTCTGTAGTTCCCGTTTACTTGTCTAGTCAAGTAGTCGAATTAAGCATCTTATCACTTTCCTTCTAGCACTATGTATTCTCGATTCAGGCTTCATAATCTTATCATGGCTGAACACGACATCGCCTCATAATCGTCTTCCTCGGAATTCACCTTTAAATTTGAGCATACATCTTCAGTGCCCAATGTACTTGACATCAGTTAATCACTATGTAATGCATGATCAGAATTTTCTTCAATGGTCATAGTCTACCTTCATGTACATCTTTGGTAGAGGAAAAAATGGGCATCTTAGGTGATATTTCAACTCCGGAAATGACAGATTCGAAATACTGGGCTTGAAAAATTGATGACCAAATGGTTATGTCATGGTTAATAAATTCAATCATCATGAAGGTTGGAAAAAAATTTCTACTATATAGGACAATTTAATAGATATGGGGGGTTGCACGTGAGACCTACTCAAGCACTGAAAACACATATTGAGATTAAGCCCGAACTGCATGATCTAAAACAAAGAGAATTGAGTGTTACTCAATATTTCAACACTCTCACATGTTGGCTACAACCGAATTGGTGCGAGGTTTATTCCTTGAAATGCTCTGATGTCTTTGTCTTGTATAAGAGAATTATTGAACAATAAAGAACCATATCGGTAAAGACCAAGATAAAGTCAGGGTAATTAATTCATGAGAATTAAACCCATCGTACCATTTGAGAGGCCCATGCAAAAATTCGAAGGGAGGAGAGCAAAAAAAGTTGATGACAAACAATCACACTACATCATCTATTGAAGGATCAACTTTGTACACAGAAAAATTTTTCTCAGAATAATAAGCCCAAGCATTGATGACTGTGGTGCAACCATTGTAAAAAACCCAGTCATGTGAATGAATAATATTGGAAATTACAAGGTAAACCTGTAGATTAGATGCCACTGAATGGAAAATATGAAAGGGAGAACAGTGCAAATGTTGTTGTCATAACAAAAAGTAACGCATAATTTAGCTTGTTCACGATGGAGCAAATTGAGGTACTATAGAAAATATTTAGTAATAGTTATAGTTCTGGACAAGCATCATGATCTTCTGCCTATGAACTTGTCAGTCTATTAGCACACCAATGTAACTTATACCATCTTTATAGTGTCCAAAGTAATAAAATAAAATTTAGAATAATTGACTCTGGAGCCTTTTATCATATGATGGGAGACATCAATGTCTTAAAAAATTACAACTCATGTGTCTGTCACTCTGCAATTCAAATAACTGATGGG